CTTTCCCTGGACTATATATCTGTTTTTTCCTTCCTGACACAGCCCAGAGGGGCAAATGTGAAGCAAGCCAATTTAGGCCTCCACAAAAACAAGGGGCAAAGAAATTCAGAAGGTAGCAAACAAGCTAAATAACACTTCAAGCAAAGCACAGATGTTAGGCCCATTTTGTGTCATTCAGTTTTGTAGAAGGCAGGGCAGGCTGGCACCTTGGGGTGTTTGTACACATGATGAAAATTGGCCATTTTTGCGCTTTAATTGCATCACACTGTACACATGCGGGGGGGGGGGCGTTACAATGTAAATGAGTTTGTTACTTTGCAAACTAAACCACATCCGCATGTAGCTCTTTGTAACATTGCAGCCTTTTGATAGCTCACGCTCCCTGTCCTGCCACAGGAGAGGTGAGCTGAAGGCAGAAGCAGCAAGGGAGGAGGTAAAGGATCAGGCCACTCACCACTTTTTTTTTCTTTTTTTTTGGCAGAGTCTGCCCACACAAGCTGCTGCTGGGCTGTGCAGCCCCTGAGCTATGGAGGGGCCCAGTCCTTCCCTCCGCAGCAGCAGTGCCCCAAGGGGCCGCCTGCAGCTGTCAGGCAGGTGCTGCCCCAGCTCAGAGGCAGCACCTGGTCTGATCCAACTGTTCCCTGAGCTGGAGCAGCACCCGCCTGCTAGCAGCCCACCTGGGCAGCCCTGGGGGGCACTGCCACTGTGGGAGGTGGGACTGGGGCCCCCCACAGCTCAGGGGCCACTTGACCCGCTTGCAGCTCACCGCCTGGTCACAGAAGATGCAAGCAGGCTCCTCAAAAAAAAAAAAAGGATTAGGCTCCTTGCCATAACAGAGATGGAAGCCCTTAAATTGAAATGGTGAGTTTTTAACTGGCACAATTAAAAACCCACCATTTCAATTTAGGGAACTAAACCCCCATCACATGAACAAGTGCCCTTAGAGACTAACTGATTCAGAGAGGCATGAGCTTTTGTAGGTGTGATTAGTTTGTTGCCTACAAAAGCTCATCCCTTTCTGACCTATTGATTGCAATGGGCCATGGGCCTAGCCCACTAAAATCATGTGTGCTGCCACTGTCAGGCGGCATAGAGCCTCATTAAAATCAAATAAATACGGGGTCAAAGAATGAAAAACAGGGTGTGCACGTGAAGGTCATAGAGCCAAAACAAGTGCTCCCTGGGGGACACCGAGCAGAGCATGCCAGACAGCGCCCACCGACACTCAAACTCTGCTAGAGTGCCGGTGGCTACTGCCCAGCGATGTTCCACCTGGAGATGTGCACAAGGACACCGAGGAAAAATGCCCCAATGTCCCCGGGAACCTTCCCGGCCAGAGCCTCCCACCTGGTTAGCCAAATAGTCAGTTTGGCCAGCACCAGGAGGAGGTTGACCAGGAGGTCCCAGGCCTTGGTGGGGCGACGGATAGGGAGTGCATAAACAAAAAGGGGTGGGGAGAAGTGCAGCCAGAACCTGAGCAGCAGGTTCTGGAGGAGGAGGTGCAGGGGCTGCAGCCTGGCGCACTCTAAGAACATGTGTGCCAGGGTCTCCCTCTGATCAAA